TTGGCTCATCCCTGATGGGTCCTGGCAGCGATTGGATCATGGAGGTTGTGGCCTAAGGTCTACAACTTTATTTTACATGTAGTACTTCTGAGGAATACTAAGTATTAAGAAGTACTAATGTAATAAAGTAATTTAATACCATCTACATCAGTATGACAAGAATATCTCCAACAAATTGCAGAAAAAGCTATGGAAATCACTTAATCCACAGTGTCTGCTTAACAGCAAAAGAGAAGAAGTCATAGTGAAACCACTATAGAAGAAAACATTTTATTTTGTCTGTGTGTCTCCATGCATTTTAAAAATTGAGTACATAATCACACCAGTGTCACAGGGAAGAACAAGTGTTTGAAGTCTAAGAGCAGCTTTTTGCATTAAACAAGAGCTATAGATAAAGCCTGAGGTTAAAACAAAACATCCCAAGGGCACTTTCCAAGGCACCACCAAAAAAAGCAGGATCGCTCAACCTTCTTACATGCATATAAAATAACCATTGAAGTGAGTGTTGTCCAGTATGTTTTGTCCACTTTTAAGGGTTGCAATTAGCTCTACAACCCAAAGCCCACTCTCTGGTGTAAAGCCTTGGCACAATATTGGGCTCATGCTGCTGTACTACTTCCATGTGTAAGCCAGTGCTGCTGGCAGCATTGACCAGCACCACACACAGGCACAGCTCAGAGCAGCACAGACAGGGGCATCTGCCTGACTCTGCACAGCACAGGGAAGATGTGCTCTGAGAGACCTGCAAGGAATTACAAAATTTCACTCCCTTTGCTAGCCATTAACCTCGGGTCATTGTACCAGAGATAGCCAAAGGAAAATCTATCTCAATTTTAATGGAAAAAATGAAGATAGCATCGTTCATAATCTATATGTTTTCCTGATACATTTCCACATTTGTTGTATTCTCGAAGTTTAACTGACAAACATAATCAAATCTGGCTTCCATCCTATTGTCATTATCAGGGGAAAAAAAGTTATTATTTTTTTTCCCAGATAGGGAAGCTGGTTTTGAGCATGAAGTTTCCCTTTCTCACCAACACTCTCTTAAACAACAAGCAGTATTGGGCAAAGACAGTTTTCAGAAACCACAAATCAGACATCATGCAATTATATTCTGGGTCCTTTTTTAGAGTGCTTCCTCTTTACTTTAAATAAAACTGAAAGGGAACACAGTTTTATTCACCAAAGAACTATTTCCTCAAAATCTTCACTACTTGCTAAATGATTTTAAATAAAAAAATGTAAAAATTCCCACGTATTGAAAAATCATGATTATTCTTTTTCACTTTTGTTTTAACTATTCCAAGCTTACATTCAAAATAAAAGTTTCAACATGAAAAAATGCTTAGTTCCTACAATCCTTGCAAATCCATTCCTAGAGTAATAGTATATATATAATAATGGATTAATAACCACCTTTCCCAGGCCAGGTTACTACCCATGTTGTATCAGATCATGCTGCTTGGTACCTTCTCTCTCCTGACAAGCATCTGCTCCCTTTTGGCAAAAAGCAACTAGAATCCAGTAACAGCTCCCTGTTCAAATCAATTCATTACACATGGCTCCACCTGAGTGTCCTGGAAGAGTCCCTGCACCAAAGTTTCCAGTGTCTTGGGAACACCACAGGTGAACCAGCCTAAGAAGTCTAACTTTTCCATCAGCACCACAGTGCTGATACCACTGATGTTACTCATCTGTGGCCCAAGACTAAAACACAGAAAGTAGCCCAAAATGCAGCCAACTGAAAAGGTCTCAGCAGTACTTTTCATGACTACTCCATCTCAGAGATGCCAGTCAACAGGCTGGACTCCAAGAATCCACACCATGTCAACTTTCTTTCCAGCAAATGATACATCCTTTGCTATCCAATAGCTCACAGTCTTCAGCTAACTGGAAATAAGCTGTTAAACTCTCTGTATATCTATTTTTCCAAGAGCAGACTTTATGGCACTGATGAATGATAACTAACAAGTGCCAAGCAAAAGAAGACATCGAAGTAACTTTTAGCATTATAATGAAGTGCAAGTCAGAATACAGGCACTATGCAGATACAGAAAAAATGAAACTAAATCCATGTTCATATGTTGCATCAGCCTTGCCATAGCTCAGAGATAATGCACATCAAAACTAAACTGCAGTAACATTCAAAAACAGGCTCTGTTTCCAAACCTTTGGAGCAAATCTTTATATATCAAAAATGGAGGGGAAAAAAGTGACTCCTTCCAAAGTCAGTGACTTCCAATAACAAAAGAAGACTGTGTTCACAATTACAATTTTAATTACAATCTAATCACATAAGACACATCTTTTGTTCAATTGCAGTCTTACAGCTTTCTAAGGAAGTATAGTGCTTCTAATTTTGGGCCCGCAGCATAAATGAGTCTTTTATATTAGGAAAAAACACAACCATTTTTGTTCACCAAGAAACAGCTCTTATACATTGAAAAAAATATATTTGTGGCATCATTTTAGTATTTTCACAGTATCTCTACAAGGAAGATACAGAAGAAGAGACATTAGTGCTATATGTTCTAATACCAAGTTTTGCAAAAATATCCTCCAAAATTCTATGATTTCTTTGGGATTTTATTACCTTTTTTCCCTTTTCCTCCAAACCATTGTATACAAGTATCTGGGTGAATGGTGAAAAAACCCCATGAGAACTTTTTACTCCCACAGTAGTTTCCCACTTCTCCAAAAATAAACATACCATTATGTTTTTACACTTGCTGTAGGTTCCACTACATAACAGTCTAAGAGGGGTGGGGGTTTCCACTTTACAGACACCATGGTATATTGCAGTATCAGTGCTAGCAGGAAGCTGCTCTCTTTACAAAAAAGGGAAGTTGCCTGCCTACAGCTTTTTGATGTCACAGCCTAGTTTAACCCTGTAGGGGCACATTCACCTTCTACCAAAGTTAAACCCATTCAATCTTTTCAAGAGTGATATATGCAAGAAGCAGAATAAGGAAAGACAGAGTAAGTGTTGATTGCATCCTTATATATGTCTAACACATAACTAAAAAAGATCACATCTTGCTAATGCTGAAGGTCAAGACAAACTTTGCCTTGGAATAACTTCGGTATTTAGATGGCTTTGGGCTCTACTGAAAAAAGCAGGTTTTGCATGGAAGCTGCACAAACATAGCTGGCCTCCTGGTAACCACATTTACTAATAGAAAAATCCAAATACAATTGTATGCTCCTTGTGCTTTAGGTTCTGATGGCATCTGTAGCAGAGCTTAGAAGGCCTGCCAGAAGGTCTTTGAATATTTACACAGAAATCATGTTCATCCTCAAAGCTATTGGAGAAGTTCTCCTGAATCAGGAACACATTTACTGTTTAAAAAGAACCACAAACAAACAAACAAAAAATAGGAAAAAACTCAACATTTTCACTTCAGTTCCAGGAAAAATCTGCAGCTTTTAACATGAAGGGAAGCAGCATTTCTTCATTGATATTATTAACATGGAAAAACCTTCTATTCTATGAAAGCAACTGAACAATTTACATTCAACTCAAAAATGCATTTTTTGTATTTCTTGCTTGCTTCCTATACCTCCTTCTGTTTGAATGATGAAAATCAAAGAAATAAGAATTTGCCTTGAAAACAGTTACACTGAAACAAAATAACCCACAGATTAACTGAGAACACAGGAACCCTAGAAGTAATTTAAAAGGTGTTTTAAACTTTTTAAAGTTTGATCAAGCATTAACTGAAAACAAAATTTATTGATGACACTGAATCACTTTGGAAATTTTTTTCTTGAAGATAAAAGTATACCAAGAGTTAGTCCTTAATTCTTATTGCTTTATGGCCATAAACCCATTATCGGTCTCATAACAGACATTACTTGGTGTGAGATAGTATAAAATACTTATACATTTAGTCAGGTACTATGTTTTTGTGCAAATAAGTATTACTTTTTGTCTGACTTTCGAGGAAAATGAGTTGTGCGTGCTTATTTCCATTTGTCTGTCAAGTTGCCCTTATATTTCATTCCAGTGAGTAATTCAAATTTGAAAAAGGTAAGATCTCAGTGCTAAAGAAATACCTGCTCAGAGAACAGCAGCTGAGGTTAGTGCCACAAGTGACGTCAAAGAGCTCCAGCTGTAACAGACCCACGTGGCTGGTGCCAGCCAGCATGCTCACAGCAGCTCTAATTTCATTTTCAGGGGGGAAAAAAAAAAAAAAGAGCCTCGAAACTACAAACACCTGCACCCAAATCTGCAGTAATTACAACATAAAGTTCAGTTTAGTAATTCAGAAACAGTGGATTTCCTGCAGGTAAAAAAAAAAAGTCCAAGTCCTACTAAAAAACTACAAGATTGCTTTCAAGTTGTTCTGCGGTGAATAATCTCTGTGTCTACAATAACAACAATGTGTCTTCAAACAGCTTAAACTTGGATTCCCTTCAATCCAGTTTATCTTAGGTGTCAACAGAATGGTTGCCAGTTTCTCTATATTCTTTATTTTTATGTCACATTTAAACATGCATAGTTAAGGATTTATCCATCATCCTGAAGAGATATGATTGTGCTGTCACTTTGCTTTATGCTATAATAGTACTTCTCCAGAAGAAGAAAAAAAAAAGATTTCCTATTCTTCTATGAGCATAACTGCACTAAGGAATAAAATTCTACATTCCAAAGCTTTTAATAAACAGTGTAATGACTAGTTGATTTAGGAATGTAAGTATTGATATTTTACTATATATTACTTCTTAATGACCATTACAAAACTGCTGTCACTGCGGATTGGAGTTGGGGAGATTAACCCCTCCAAATCCTTCCCTATTGCTTTTCTCTTGGCACCTAGTGTTTAAATTCTTCCTTTTTCCCTTTTTTGTATACCATATTTTGTGCTATTTCTTTCTTATGATCCTCCCCTCTCTAAAACTATGCATGCCAAATTTTATTCTGATACTACAATGCATTTTCAGTGCAAAATAGCAGTGTGCTCTGAATAGTAATCCATTGCACCCCTCATTTTAAGGGGAAGGAGGCAAGACACATGACAAAAATCATAGAGTGAAATAGCTGGAAGTCCACCCACTGGGAAAGGCTGGATGGCAGAACCACTGTGCAATGCTGCTGTAAAGAAATGCAAAGTAAGTATTATTTTTCTTTATATGAGTCATACACAAAAGTTTCATTTTTTTATTTGAAAGCACTGGTGTAGGATAATTTGTAGTTAGAGATTTATATTGTTCAGAAATTACACTGGGCGGCCTTAGACTTGAATAAAAATTAGTTCAGACATTAGAGTGCAAAAGAATGAATCTTGGAACTATTCGAAGCCAAATTGTGCACTAGGAAATGCAGGCTAAGACACTGCAGTAAGACTTCATTTAAAAATTCAATACTGTTGATATTTACTTTCAAAACACACTTACTCCCCTTCTCCTCATCCTTTCCTTCCATAACTTCAGACATTCTGTGCTCCTCAGTCATCCACTTCTCAAATCTCATCTAAACATACACATCATTTGTTAAAGTCAAATCCTTCTTATCCATTACTAGTGCTCATCACAGAAATCACGTCCTATGCAAGCCTAAATTAACTGTGTTCCACTAACCTCTTCCAAAAATATTTTACTAGCATATAATCATGTCTCTCTATCTTCTTACCTGTCCTTTCTAAACTATTTCTCCACATTTCCTCTATGGAAATGCCAGTTCCATTTCCATAAAGTTATGTCATGGTCTTTTGCAATCACCTTTGGGCTTTCTTCCTCCCTCATTCCTTTGCCAATTGTTCTGATTCCCTAGTCTCCTTATTTCTACATCCTTATTTAAATTTCCATACCTTTACACAAAACAAAACCCACCTCACATTAAATGATATCTTCAGTAACTACCAAGTACTATCACCTATACAGAAAATTCCTTTTGCTATTTCCTGATTTGACTCTGCTTGGAAGATTTTAAGCTGTAGACGTACATGGAAGAGAGAGAATGTCTCATTTCATATTATTTTACTTATCAAGGATATAATAGCATTTGGGAAACTGATTCAGGTCTCCAAACAGAATACATCTAGAATTCTGTATGATTTAAGAGAGCTTTTGAAGAATGTCTGGTATACAGTGGACATTACTATGCAAAAATAAAGTGCAAAGAATGGTCAAATGAAAACCAATTAAAAAAAACAAAACAAAACAGTCTACAAGTTTAGTTTCAGATTGTTAGTTCCTAGCTGTCAGATTGCCATGGAATACAATGTGAACAGTTTCCAGGTAGCTTTGTAGGAATTTTATATTTAAGGAAAAAAAAAAAAAAACAAAACACAAAAAACAAGCAAACATAAAAACCAACCAAAACCCAGAAAAAAACAACATATTAAGACATTTGAGAGATGCTGCACTAAAACAATACTAAACCAAACCCAGAATGTTTTGAGAAATTTTAGCAGCAATGACGTAAGAAAGAAGCCAATTAGAAACGCATGCCCAAAACCTATTTCCTCTCCTTCACAACATCCATACACCTGTCTTAACCAGCATTTCAATTCCTCTAAGCCGACGTGTAGAGAGAGAAAAGAGCCTTGGTTTCGCTCTAGCTGAAGGATGGCAGCAGTGGAAGTTCCCCATCAGTACCCGCAGCCCAGCACATGACACACACGTAATGGAAGGCTCAGACTCAGAATTTCCTCTCGTGCCCCACCTTCCGCAGTACTTTCGTTTTTTCTGGGGTATAAGTGTCCCGGGAAGCAGGGGGCTGACCACATTCCCCAGCTCCCTTTGCCTGCACAGGCGGAGCGGCGGGGAAGCAGCTCTTGGCTGCTGTGGCAGCGCAGGGACAGGCTCCGGAGTGCCCCGGCTGGGAGCAGGGATGGTCCTCGAGAGCCCGGTAAGTTTGGCACAGCGCTCTGTACTCTCTGTTCCACGGGCTGCCGGTGATTTAGGAGGCACATCTAGTGAGAGTGTCTCTGTGCTGGCTATTACTGCAGAGTTCAGACACCAACAGACACAGAGCCATGCACAACAGTCAAAGTCATTTATGTAACTATGTTGCATTTAAAATCGTGATGCAGTTGATAAATTCATTTGTTACTGTGTGTATTATGTCATACTTAGATCCCATGTAATGAATTGATAACGTCCATAAGGAAGATTACGTGGTGGTGGCTTTGTACAATGGTTTGGAGAAAGGTAAAGAGAGGTTGATATTACATGTTATTGTGGTGCACAAACTTTTCTTTGATCTTAAGTGGAATAACAGAAAAGACAGAAGCATCTATTTGAATGAATATTCACTAAGTGAGATGGTTTCAATATTCTGAAGGCAGGTTTAAAGTGATGCAGTGCACTAAGTCATAAACACAGAATCAAAGTTCTCTTTGTAGGGATTTTCGAATTTATCTTTTGAAGTTCAACCCATCCCAAACTCAGATGATGCTCCCCAGAACACCAATAATCAAATTTCAGATATTTGCATCAAAGATAGGTATTTTGTCTCAAAGATTTCATTCTCAGTCCCTTTTATTTCCTCCAAGTTAAGGAACAACACTGAAATTTCAAGACTAACAGGCATTTGAATTGCAGCAAACATACACCTGCTGTTAGTTTATGCAACAGAATAAAAAATATTTTCTGTTAGATCAAAACAATAGGTTTTGATATATTACAAATAAAAACAATTATAAAACTTCTGCTACTTCAGAAATGCTATCCTAGTACTTTACAGGGAAATAAAGGTTTTTGCTGTAACAAATAAGATCCAGTCCTGCACTAAGTTTATCCATCTGGCAAATTTAAGCTTTAAGTGGATTGGTAGGGACCTGATGCACATAAGTCGTGCAATCCCTTGAGAAACGATTTTCAAATTAACTAATAAGATATTGCACTGCATACAGCTTATTAGAAAGAAACAGTGAGAAGCAACAGAACACAGCTACTATGCCTGGGATTTAGAAGCTGGATTTAGCTGTCATGTCCATAATTCCTAGTGCATTTGTTATGTAAAGGAGTAGGTGAGAGGAGGGTTTAGTTTCATATTAGGGAAAGTAAAAAGGCTCTACAGAATGTAATTGCAGGATTAGTAAAAAGTATAAGGCAGCTTTGCTCCACTATTTATATATCAAGGCAATTTATGGAAATCCTCACATATAAAATTTCAATAATTGGTTCACATAATTATGCAGAATCATAATAATGAGGTTCAGAAACAACTTGCTCTTAAATTAAAGGACAAGCAATATAATTTTTCATATTAAAATATTATACGTGTAGAGAAGAAATTGGCAAGTTTTCACATGATACTTTAAAGGTTAGCTGCCTAAAGAAACAAAACACGATTTGAGAGCTTCTCAACCAACACTGATAGTTATTATAGTAATATCTCTGCAACTTTCCAGATATCCAAACAATCTACATGGTCACAGGATTTCTATGCATGAGAACGTTTTGGCAGTAATTGCCATTCATCCTGAGGGGGAAAAGTTAAAGGCAGAGTTTAGAGGTAGCATCACAGGATGTGGACAACACTTAAAAACAGAGAACTGATAAAGTCAACAGATGAGGTGAGTAGTCAAAACACAGAGGGTCTTGTTGAACCTTGCTGGGCAGAGAAACAGGAATCATAAGAATTAAGGGTGGAAACTGTCAGGTTTGGTAATGGTACTCTGAGCACAGAAAATGAAGCAAAGCTGCCATTTCAAAACTAGAAGGGCACAAAAATTTGAGACTGTACACCAGAATGCATCAGTGAAGACTACTGAGGTAGCACTACATTTAGGATAAAGAAGTACTAAGGGAGCAAACCACAGGACAAACCAAGTAAAAATCATTGACTTTAGCCTCATAGACAAGTCACATACTAGTGGACAAGTTGTGTGTAATTGCAAAAAGGGGCAATTCAAAACAAAGTATAAAACCATTACATAGGACTGGAGTGAAAATGTTTTACTTGGAAAACATACACAGTACTGCTTTCAGAACCTTCCCACTGAAACAGAAGTTACCATCTTTTTTAATGCAGGTGACAGAGGAGCTGAAAATATAATACATGCATAAAAGGCTCACTTGAAAATGAGGGTTATTAAAATAACCTTTTGATGTTTTGACACGTAAGTAAGGACATCTAGTTTCAACCTTTAGCTGCGATTGTCATGGACTTAGATTACCCTTTCTCGCACAGCCATCCTTGCACAAGCCCTTGCACAACTTCTCTCCTGTCCTAAGGAGACACAGATCAGCCTTGCTGTCACATCCCATTAGGAGCAAAGCTGATAAAATGTACTGGGATCCCAAGGTGACATAGTTTCTTTCATTACGTTTGTCACAATATTGATTAGATTAGGCCTGAAGTCCATCTTTGGCCTGCTACTGACCCATCACATCTCCTGGGAAATTCTGCAGAGTAGGAAACAAAATTGAAAACGACTGGAACAATAGAGATATTCAAGATGGTTATAGCTCATGGGACTCACACAGATGTGACAAGTACTGATTTTTATTAACTATACATCCTAACACATTAATCCCAAACTTGATGACTACATATTACATTATCTTTTTTACAATAGTTAGCCTTCAGGAACTTAATAGCATGAAAATAATTCACCAAATACCTTTATTTCTTTCACTGGAATAAATAACAACATGGTCAAAGTGCTGCCTCGCTCATTTCAACTTTCAAAAATTTCAAGAGTAAATAAAGAATAGGTCAGTTTGCTCTCTGTGGAGCCTTATACCAATTTTCTTCTGCAGTATGTTTTTAGTTTTAGATGTTTCACTTATGCAGGATGGCTGAAGATGTTTCAAATCAGAGAACTGTACAGCTGAGCCATATGGTTAGGCATTCACCTAATCGTAGCAGTTAATAGCTAAAGACCCCTACAGCTGTTCTTATGTTTTCAACAGACTTTACTTATTGGTATTAAACACTTCTAATATAATACATGCCCTTTGTTCACATAAATTGGACAGTTCTGAAGTCACAAAAGACTACTTTGAATAACTAAATATTTTTTGATACAGACAGAATGGAAGCTGGAGACTTTATTTTTTAACTTTTTATATTATTAAGTCATTTTTTCCTCTTTCACATATGGGCTACTTTACAAATACCATCAGTAGGCACACATTTGAACTCCTGAGCAATAAGT